CTCATTAAGTGCGTAGAAATAAGGCAAGATTCCATTGTTTTTTTACGTAACTATGTTGGTTTTCCAATTTACAGTATCGGTGCAGTGGACCATTGTTCATGACACTGGTTTTACGTCCCAACCCTCAATATAAATTCCTGGCCGATTTACGTGTTTTTACTTATATTTAGATGTACGTTCTCTTGGGGATTATATACATTTTATACCAATCCATTTATTTATAATTGAATTTCTCGCAGCATATTTCATGTCTTTTACAGGTCCAATATCTTACCGTTTATTTACAAGGCGTTTCATATGTGGCGAATTACCTACGTTGGTTCAAAAGTGGTACCATCAGTCATTCACGGACTGGACTGACTGGAGTCAAATGTTCCCAAAAGTATTAAGAGTTTTCTTTTGTTCTTTACTTCTTTCAGCAACCACTACACAAAGAATATATAATTGTACAGAAGTTTTTGAGCCCTTTCCAAAATTCATACCTCAAAACAGTGCAAATGAATGAAAACAGCAAAAACTGTACTCAAATACCAGCCCAATGCGGTGTAATGACGATTTTTCTCAACAAAGAACAATATATCTAAACAGAGATCGAGGGAGTTCGTACCTGAGGAAGAAGTAAGTGTATGGGCCTTATACAATAAAGGCTAATAATGAAGCAGAAATAGTGGCGCTATGAGGTGTCGAGTCCATAGTATGTTTTCGCCAAGCGACCAGTGAAAAGGTAACAAAATTGCTAAGGAGTAATTTGAGAAATGGGCCAGATGAAATGCTTCCAGTATATTTCGCGTCATATTATGAAGGAAAATTAGTTGTTCACTAAGGCTTTGTAATCTCCTATTACAGCTTCATCTCCATGGACATGGAACAACATCAATGAAAGTCAACTTGTAGAATACATCTCAATTGGAACGTGTGTACAATCAGGTTCATCACAAATACGCCAAGTGCCACATAAGCAAGATTGGGAAAAACGAAAAGAGGCTACTCGACAAGAATCGCCACCGGAAGATTGCATTGCATGTACTACCTTGGAGGAAAATGAAAACTTGCGGAACACCCATCCAACACCAACGAAGAAATCAAAAAAAGGCTCTGAAGATGTCATAAAAGAGGAAAGAACGTAGGTAGAATTTCGTGGTAAATGTTGTACCGTTTCGAAGTGCTTCAAGAATTGCCAACTTAGTGAAATCCTTCCGACAATGATTAAAACTTCGAAGCCGAAGTAGGTTTTACATATTGCAAGGAACATGAGAGGAGTATTGATTTTAAGAAATGGAGTTGAGGGAAATGAAGTAAGAAACCAAGCGTTAAGGAGGGAGATGTGAACGAACAGTGAAGTCTAGTGAAGATGTATATAAAAGAGAGAATAATTCTTAAAGAGAGTGCGAGGGGTGTGTGAATGACGAGTGAAGAAAGCATAAGAGAAGGGCGGAAAAGGCGCCAAGAAAAATGTACGGAAGGAGGACAATATACTTTGAACGATGGATTACGTAAAGAAGGAATAGATGAAGGTTTAAGGGGTATAGAAAAATGGCGCGAGGAAGACTATGAGTGGAAAAAACCGGGAAGAAAGTATTAAAAAATTATCATGTCCTCGTCCGCGTGTCAGATCAAAGGGACTTCAACGCATTTTTTGTGGCAGATCAGTATTCTGTTAGCCAGTTATATTCCAAAATGGAAGTCGCACATAAAGTTTATCAAATATAGTTATATTGTAGCGAATATTCAAGAAATTCCGCTAGAGATCGAGGCGCCATGAAAAATTAGTCATCGGCGATCAAGAACGAAGGCGGATGTGATGCAATCTTTCCGGGAAATTTGTTCGAAAACTTTCGAGAAAAAGGGCCGTTTTGCTATACCTATAAGCAACTCGAATTGCTTTTCAGACAGTTCTAATTTCAAGGCCGCAGTAATAAATAGTTCCGCGTTATTATAAATTGTGTATATGTGAGTGATACATAATATTTTAACTTTTAACTGTTACAAATCAATTCATTTCAACTTTCATGACTATTATAAATTTACTGTTAATTAATTGTAAATAAATAAACCATATTAGAGTAATCTCGACAATAACATAGTTTTGTATCGCACAATCACACGTAAATTTTTATTATCTAAATTTTATTCACTGTTTCTAGTATACCTGCCGGAATATTTGTAAAATCAGGCACTTCCGACGTCCCGTTCACCCGCAATTCGCGTTTGAAGTTTTGACCCCACCATCAGTAAGAACTTGTCGGTACCCCTTTTTGACGCCTTCACAGTCTTATATGTAAATGCGCCATTTTGGTGGATTTCGCTAAAGACCTTCCACAAAATAGTACTCAATTTTAAGGGTACTTCTTATAACTCTAGCTTCTATTGGCGACACGACAGAGAGATCGCGATTTACTTACAAAACTGTCACACCGCTTGACAACAATCGCGGCGAAAGGCGCCCAAAGTCAACTGCCCCTCGACTGCGTCTTGGAAAAGGTGGGGCAAAACAAAAACTGTAGAAGAGGCTACGAAAAAACTAAAAAATCACCACGTCCGTAAACCAAGCTCGGTGATAGCGCCCTGATGTCGCCGGTTCTACATCATGTTGATAAAGTTGTTAATTGCATGGTCCGCTAGGTACACGTACACTCCTTCTATAGGGTCTTATTTGTTGTCAGTCAACCAGTCAACCAACCTGTCGGCCAGCCAGCCAAAGTGTGATGAGAAGCTACCTTTTTACAAACAAATTTGCAAATAAATGATTGTTTTATTTAGTGGACTGAAGGACCACAGGTTATTTATACATTTTTGTAACAATTTTTCGCCGAACCATACAAAAGACATTCATGCTCGGAATTTTTCTTAAATGTATACATATGGGCTGTGTATACTTTTTAAAAAACCATGTCAATGCAGTGTCATAATCTTATAAGTAGCTATCTAAACGTATTAGAAGTTTGTACAATTAAGTTCTTTTTATTGCCACTAGAGGTCAAATCTAATCCCGATAGATTCTCTCCAAAATGGCGACGGGATGGTTTGTTCTTGGTTGTTACTACTACGAGCACTCGCCAGATTTTGTAATTTTGTATTATACTTCAAAGTTCCGGCACTTTCAGTCGTTATATCGAATCTTCTAGCTAGGCCTTAAGGTTGTTAGAGAAGAGACACAAATTATTCGACTTTTGGGGTCGTAGTTCCCAAACTTAATCCTGAAGACATGATTTGATGAAAAATATACTTTTTTGCTGCTTCTGAAACCTACGTTCTTTAAATCGATCGGGCCGGACCGACCCTTGTAGAGTAGTTCAGTTGAACCTGGACTGCGGTGCTAAGGGTCCCTGGTTCGAATCCGGATTTGGGCATGGATATTTATACATGTATAGTAGGTTAGGTTGGTAGAGTAGCTTTGGTTGAAACTCCGCCCACTCAAAAATAAAGGAGAAAATAATAGTTATTTATTATACAAGACGATAAAGGGATATTTTAAACATCGAGTGAATATGACTTTTACGAGATGGTTAGTTTCCCTTTATCGTCGTGTATAATACAAAACTTTATTTTATAGCAGAAGTAATATAAATCATTGTAAAGCTTCTGACAGTTCTGAATTTAATTTAGAGACGTCATTTTATATCCTGAATTTGAAATAAGAATGACAGATGTCATTAGAATACACACACATCTGTTTCACTTTATCTACCCTTACGTTTAAAGTCTTAGACAAGAAAAGATAGGTTAAAGTGGCCACTTTATCTAGCCTTACGATTAAAGAACGGCTTTGCCTACTCATTAAAATCTATATTAAAATGTCAACTTAACATGTGCTATAAAATAAAAAATAAAAAAAGATGCGAGAAGATATTTAGTTTCGAAACAAGTTTTGAAATTCGTTTTCGATGAATGACAGGACAGCGTGGCAAAAAATGGACTAGAGGACGAATAGTGTGTTTGCAACAGGTTGTTAAAGGATTGATGTAAGTCGATTCGTATATTGATGGGGCGCATGGGCATAACAGTGAGCTGTTTGTGAGTGCACATAGGACTTAGATTTGGTTTAAGAAAACGTACTAAGAAACGAAACCAGAAGAATCGTGACGTTACGTTCTATTTCAATTATACAGTTTTGCACATTTTGATTATGGAGAAACCATGGTAAAAGACACGAATTTGCTTCAGGTAAGCTAGAAGTATGGGTCATGTTACTGTGCAAGGATGGTAAGCGAATTTGGTAGTTAAGTCGTAAAAACAATGCTAGACGCGAAACATGCCCAAACAAAATGGCCGATCTGCATGTGATAGCCGAACAATTTTATGAGTTCTAGGAACGAATCACAACTTCACAGGACCTGCCAGCAGTTAGCAAAAAAAATATGCAAATGAATGCGAAAAGATTAAATTTAGGGGTGTTGTTACGATTGATATTAAAATCTACACATACCATCCCTTAAATTACACCAATAAAATTTAAACAAGTTGGTTTTATTTTTTTTAAATAGTTTTTCAACCTAGCCTTTTTTGTCAACGTAATGGGACTGAGCTGAGCCAATCCAAATTGGAGGTGTATGGCCATTCACAATATTAAATATTGCCTATGCCTATGATAAACGAAAGAAAAAGAAAATCCACGAGACCAAAATGCAATCGCGTGAAAATGAATCCACAAAATGAAGTTTAGGGGAGATGGGTGTTTTTAGAAAAGTGTTTTTACAGAAGAGAAAAGCGCGTTTAAGCACTACACAAAGTAAAACAACAGTTACTCGGTGGTGATGCTAATTTTGTTCGATATTTTAATACTTAAATTATTGTGGCTTTGATTTTACTTTTTGTAACTTTAGAAGATTAAAAAGAGGTGCCGAACATTCATTGGTTTATAACAAAGTTCTGAAATGCGAAATACAATACTTTACAGTAATGATACTTTTTGCATAATGTGTATTATCGATTGCATGAGAGGAAGTTGTTGAAATGGTCAGTGACGAGACATGAATCAACATACTAAATCAAGCACTTACCAACTATTCTTGCGGATCACCCGGTATATTAAGTGGTTGACCTGTAACAAATTAAAATTGTCAAAAATCTTTATTTTCGTAGTGAAGTATAGGTATGTTAAGTACCCCAACAACATTATCTCGGAAAACAACCAGAAAAGATATGATATCTTAAGGGTGTTGGTCCTTTCCGGTCGGTACCGAGATTGATAGTGCTGAAAAATTGATAAAATAATCTCGGTTAGACGACAGTCCTTAAGAAAAATTTGAGAAAAAAAACGACGGTGAACCACAACTTCGAAGAGACGACCGAATAGCGCAAACAATTGGCGCATGCTTTACAGGTAACACAAACAATAATAGTAAAAATAATCAAAGATCGACTGCTTGCAGTCTTTCGTACGAGGCGAGGAAGGGTTTAGAGAGCAACAGCTGACCGTGGGACAGGCGGCCATTAAAAAGTCGCACGGTTCAAAACGCCAGCCGTTCGTTCGAATATCTTTTACTGTAGATACCACCACGCAAGACCTCAAATGCGTATACGCTACGGGTACGATATAAAAACTATTTTAGAGTGTCATCACGTTGCATTACCTAATTAATAATTACTACTTGGCACGTGATTCAAGTTCAATTTATATTAATTGATTGGGCTTTTAGAATTCATAAACAATTTAGTAAACGATAAATCAATTTTTATGCGTCGAGCTGGAGGTTACCGTTTTAATTAAATTCGACGCCGATCCGAAAAAAAGGTTCGAGAGATCGCAATAATTAAGAACTAAAAAGAAAAGTGGCAGGCATAAAATATACAAGGGCGATTTATATATTTTTCTGTCGTTTATAAGTATCGACAATAAAAAATAAAGGGTGAAATATGAATAAGGTGTTTTAAGTATACGAAAGTCTCGTATTTTCCGAAGAATTAGGTCCAAATAATTTACGTTACATAAAGGAACAACCACGGGAACAACACTGTTGAAGAGAATACAAAATCTATTCTATCCCCTAAACACTTAATTTACGAACCTATATGTTTATTAAGATAAAATATTCGACCGTTTTTTAAACACCTTGTATATGGGCACATTTGCATTGCCCAACATTTCCATATAATGCCACTGCAGTCTTCACATTTTAAATACTATGAGGTTTTGTGAGTTAACGAGATGCCGTCTCAAGACATGGTGGTGATGTGTTACAGAATCACACTGCACGTTTTAAATCCTTTGTGGACTTGTGTCTTAAGAGTTAAGAGACATCGTTTCAGAATATGTTTGTATTTGAATTACCCTCATGCAGGATTACAGCCAAAAGCATTTTTAGCGCATTTTTGGAAAAAAACGCGATTACATTCGTTATGGTTGGCTGGCTGTCCGGCTGAGATCTCAGCAATTACAATAGCTGGAGACTTTTAAATTTTCACTAAAAGTCTTCTGTTACAGTGTAGATGTGCCGGCTCTAGTCTATTTTGAGTTAGATTTCTCGTGAGATCGATAATTTTAAACTTTGCTAATGAAATACTGATCTGCATTACCAAAAATGCGCTTTCATCATGCATATGCTGATTTACAACTTGTTTTTTGTAATCAATTACTGCTGTACAGGTACAGAGGTGTGACGGTGCATCCCATCCGGGCGACGTACACCCAGGCACCGTTTTCTCGGCGACTTATACCCGACAACGACCTATCGCGGCGACTTTTGCTTTCCTGGCATCGGTTATCCAGGCAATGTACACTTTCCTAACGACATCTGCCGAACGCCATTTTTCTTTTTCTTTTCATATAAGTAAATAATGATACTTTAGAAGCGATTGTGCCGGCCCGTGTGGCGCAGTTCAGTTAAAGCTGGACTGTTGTGCTAAAGGTCCCTGGTTCGAATCCGGGTTCGTGCATGGATATTCGTAAATGTATAGTGGGTTGGGTTGGTAGAGCAGCCTTGGCTGAAACCCCGCCCACTCAAAAATAAAGGCAAAATAAAAAATTAAGTATTAAGTATGTAATTAATTCTTAGAAATATAGGAAACCGAAATATGCAAGGAAGCTCAAATAAGCAGTCGTGTTAAGACAATTGCCATTCAAAGGACCCATTTTTTAGATAATGGCGTTTTACCATTCACCTACGCAGGTAGATACCAGAAAACTTTACCTACCTACAAATAGTCCAGGAAATGAAGGTTTTACCCTGGCAATTTTTTCAAAATGAATCGAATAACTTGAAATTTTGACAGTAGGTGGGGAATAGCCTAAGGATCAAAATCTATATCATGCCAAAGGGCGCTTTCCCCCAGGTGATGGTTGCCACCCCACCTCAGAGGTGGTAATTTTTTATTGCAATTTTTATACAGAAATAGATAGAAGAAGTAATTCTAAGCAAAAAGTGTTCTATACATTTTTTTTTAGAAAGTTAATACGTCTCCAGTTATTCGCAACCGAAAGTATGAGTTTACGAACAGAGTTTTGGCTTCTTTTTTTTGTTACCTCTTGTTCGTCAAACGCTAACTTGGAGAGTTTCAGAGTCAAATAACGGCAAAACTATGCATTTTTCGAGAAAAGCTTGTAGAATATTAAAGTATTCAAAAAACCTTTCTTCTTTTTTTTAAAAACAAACTTTAGCATAAAAGTTAAATGAGTTATGATGAAAATAAGGTAGATCCGTACTTTTTTCAGCGAGAAAATCTGTGCAAGCAACCCCCTAATTACGACCCTCATTAAAATTAGTCCTTTCGCTTTTCCAGTTTTCTCTAATTACGTATTATTAATACATTCTAGAAATGCGGCCAGTTCAGAAGACTTAATTTTTAAATAATTAAAAGCTAAAATTGAAAAACGAATTTTTGCAATTTTGTGAATAACGTCCTTTTCAAAATACCTAACTACTAAACAACTGGAGATACGTAAAAAATGCTAGAACATCCAATTGTAGCTTTTTTAATTCCAAACATTTCTCTCGCCGGGAATTTTCTGTACGACAAGAATTAAGTGAGAAATGGTCGTGTAAAGCGTCTATTTATATGCGGGCACTACTTTGTTTTAACTCTTTAAGCTCACTCCATTTTAAAACTAAGAGTTTTAAAGGGATTTGATGTAAATAGTCTTGGAGCTCTTGTAAAAACATACAAAATGGTTTTTTAATGCGCTTTCTATCATGAAAAATAAAGAAGTTATGATTAAAAATAAACGAATCACAATTTTTTTCGAAAAATTCTGAAAGCACAAATTGAAGAATTATGCTACATGACCGGTATATATTTCGTAGGTATACTATTCATTAGAAACTTATATACACACTTACATTCATTCCATTACACCTACACACTATGTAATGCATATACAAGGCGATTAAAAAAGAATATCACCACTTTCAAATCTGAATTTTAATGAAAGAAACAAAATAGAACCATGGGTTATACCAAAATTAGTAAGTTTTTTCCACTAGGAAATAGGTTCACAGGTGTTGATCTGTTGAATATGACCCCACTCGAGAGATATCGGTACGATTATATCTCGGATTATATGTACGTGCGTGGCTGCCCGGAACTTTTACCTTTGCACAAATACACAAACACTCTTTCTCTATGAAATGTTTATAACAACGTTTGATTCCCCATCTATCAGGAGGTCGAGCACCATACTTTGTCCGAAATGCACACTGAACAACTGTCGTCAATAACAAATTATTCACTTTTTGAGAGTAAGCGCTTTTTTTTTTATTAAACCGCAGTAAGGGTTAATTTTCAAGAGTGGAAATATTCTGAAAGAATGTTCCAAAGCCTCTAACAATCATTACTCAACTCATCTGAACCAAATTTTACTCACCTTAAGCTTTAATATGTAGTTTTATGGGTTTTGCAAAAAGGGGTAGTTTTCACCACTTAAAATGAAGAGCGCCCATCGGCATAATATAGATGTTGAAGTAGAGGGTAAGTTTCGTTTCCTGGACTAAAATGGCATAATTTCAATTTGATCCTATATAGTCCCTATTCAGATTTTATGATCTAGAAGGGAAAAATCGCACTTTTTAATTTGACGGATAGTAAGATTGAAAACATTTGATTTAACGATTGTTGTCATTAGTTCTCCGATTTAATTTTATAATTTTCTTTATATTTTTTCATTTTTTGCCCAATATTTTATTTATAGTTATTCTGCTATTCGGGACTAGAGACGAATCAATATACAGTGATATTTATTTAGAAGTAGACATTGGGATTTATGTTTATTGTATTTCCCAATGTCTACTTTTAAAAGACATCACCTCTTCTGAAGGGCGCCTAATTTGTGCATCCAAAATAACTTTTTAAAACCAATGAGTTTGAATATTTATTGTTGTTTTGGTTTAACAGAAAATAAATATCTGACGCTCCTTAAACTGTTACCGGCATCTTACCAGTTGGCAACATTACCATTTTCTTCAGTTGAATTGAATTCAAATTAATTAATATGATAGCCAGCTCTTTATTTGTTTAGGTATTTTGGTTACATAAAATTAGGCGCCCTTCAGAAAAGATTTGTGTCATTTAAAAGTAGACATAAGGAAAAACAATACACATAAATCCCTATGTCTACTTCTTAATAAATAGCCCTGTATAAACATATTGGATTGTTCTTGTCTCGCAAAAAGAACCGTTTCGACTTGAAAGTTAGATGGGCCGGCTTATTATTATTGGTCCAGAGGTGCCAACTGTAAGTATAAGGTTGGTCACGATGGCAGTGCCGGCTTGGGAGACCCCTAAGATCATTACGAGTAAGTGGCGTACACATTACGAAACGAAACAAGAATCGATGGAGTGGCTGCATAGAGGAGCATCTTCACCACAACAAACAAGCGGTGGGAAATTGACGGCGACGGTTTTCTAGGATCCTGTTGATTGAGTAAGTATACATGAAAAGGGTCCCACAATTAACGATGATGTTTACAAAGTGACTATTAAACTCCTTAGAGCTGCCATTTCAGCTTCCGGAAATAAAGACATCCGCCCTATTATGCGGTCTTTAACACCCTGTGACTACTATATTGTATCTTAGATTAATGGTTTTTTAGCGCGTTTTTCCAAATT